TATTAGTATTCATCGAAATATTTGATTTTGTTGATAAGAACTATCAAAATGATTCTAGCTTACTGACATTTGTTTCATAGAATTCCTATTCCTAGTTTTATGATCTTCAAAGAATATATTTTAACATCGTTAATCCTTGCCAATCTTGATAATCAAAAAGAGAAAGGCGTGAACCGAAGTCATCGTTAGACTGAATTAATAAAAAAAGAAGATACATGGACCTCAAGCAGATTTTATTTTCGCGAGTATCCCTTAAACCGAAGAGAACATGATCTTGTTAAGTGGTTAAGTGACCCGATAACGGTTCTCCTGAGAAACGGTTATCGACACGCAGAGACAGAGAAAATGGGCTAAATGTAAAAAGACTAGCCATAGGATTCGAATGAAAAAAGTGAGAATGACACGGATGGAAAGACAGGAGACGTGGAAGATAAGAGATCGTTTCTTTTACTTGGCTAAGGGTGAAATACAAATATATATTGTTAGAACGGTTCAAAAAATATTCTAAACGAGAATGAGGGATGTAAATTTTGTTGGCAGATTTCGTTGTATAGATTTTGTGAAGGAATATGATTCTCAAATGTTTTACTTTGCAACGGGATATTAACTCATTATTATTAAATCCAATGTTTCTCGTTCCACTTTTAATAAAATTTCATGTACCGAATGCAAACCGAAGGACGTCAAGAAAGTTCTTAAAATTAAACCGAAGACATTCGTGATACTTTCACGTGTTAAGAGATTATCGTCGGCTTAAGCAGCGAGCGATCAAATTTGCATGCTCGGTTAAAAAATGTGTTTCTAGCACGTCAGGCTCCAGTGTCTTTCTTAAACCTCGCTAAACATATACAGGGTGTCCCAGAAGACGTTTTAGAGTTGAAGAGAGGCGATTCTGTAAGTGTTTCTAAACAACAATTTCCTTTAGCAAAATGTAAAGTGAGGCGTGATTTTTTAATTAACGAAAAACACTGACCAATGAGAGCACATGTAGGGCTTGCGCTCAGCTACGGGAGTATTGGCTCGGATCGTAACGCTCGGCCTTATTTCATTTTACGTTTAACAAATATTTCATCTTTCATAAAAATCCGCGTTCTCAGAATTCACAGTTTCTCGATCGAGAAATTAAAACGTTATGGCTAATATACATGAACCGTGGTAAATTTTGTTGAACCGAGAAATGTAAAAAGTTTTATACCTTCAGTGAAACTTTGACGATCTTTTTTACCTGGACGATTGATCGGGATTAATCGGGCACTAACATAATTTCGTTTTTCTCCCGCTTTTACCATGAACACCGGAAGGCGCGGTCAGTAAAGAAACGAACAAGTGTCTTTCATGAAACTCAAGCCGTTCACACGTCCGCTGGAAGACAAGCTGCATTACGTTTACCTGGTCACCTTCCTTGCCTGCTCCTACGTCTACACCTAGACTTTCACTCGAAAGTCTGTAAAACCCTCCACCTTTTGGACGAAATAAATATTCTCACACATGTGCAGAAAATGTTCCATTTAAATTAACATTACGCTGTATTAACATATTTTATAGCGAGACTTAAAAGTGTGACACGATGTATAGAATTCGCAGCGATTCCCCCATATAAAATACAGAAACGTTTCACATCATAGTATATTCTGTAAATCTAATATAACTCTGTATATGTATAATACACCGTTTCGTCGTGTCTATGTAATAGTTTCGGAGAAAGGTAGGCGTGCGGTGTGGCGATCGCGTTCTGCTATTTTCAGTTCAATTTATACCGTTCACCCAGAATTGTAGTTGTGAACAGCTCACGCCCAAAGAAATCTACTTTCATGAAGCGAGGAAAGTCTGTCTACCTAACGTTGCGAGTGACTTACATACATGGAACGCGCGATATAGTTCGTCGAAAGTCTTATACTATTTAGTCCTATTATTTCTGTGTATCTACTATCAGTGTCTAAGTATTTAGAGGTAGAAGTTCATTTACGAATGTTTGGCCCAGATATGTGAGACGCCTAATTCTTTGGTGTACACGTATACACTTATGTACACGTATTTGTCTTCTTTTTCGGCATACATTTACTAATTATGCTTTCATGATTCCATTCTAATTTCACATTAAAGGGCATTTTATATTCTATTTTAAAATGAATTTATTATAATTATTAGAACTGAAGGATTTTTGTTTAAATTTCGAAACTGGGACAGATGAACAGTCGAAGGATCTTAACTGTTACTCGCATCCCAACAAGTGGCTATTCCGCGGCTTCGACTATTCACTCGATACACGGGCGTTAAATTATGTAAACTCTCATTGCTCTTGTCGACCCGCGTATGTACAGGAAGTTAAAAGTTTGTTTGCTACACCCAAGCACGCAGTATCCCATACGCTAACCTACTCCCACCTACAATGTAGGTAGACGGCTTTCTTCGTTTCAAGAAAGTAGCCTCACTTCGGTTCAGGCCCGTCCATCGTCCGGATATACATGCACGTTCATACGTGCGTGCATACTTTACGCAAGTTTAATCTCTCCTTTATGTTCTTTCACAGCCATTCGCTGGGCCTTTCATTGCGAGTAAATAAAGAATTTACCTGTTGAATGAAATATTATTATTATTATTATTATTATTATTATTATTATTATTATTATTATTATTATTATTATTATTCTCAGGCTCCTTTCCCTTTGGGGGGTGTAAAATGGTTGAGTGCCAGCCGAGTGCATTCCCGGACGACGAATAGGGGAACGACCAGAGATAAGATGTCCCCCTACCACTACACCCGAAGTCCTGGTTATCAGAAACCATAACCTTCCCTTGGGACCCCGCATCACGACTAATTCAGACGGCGGGGAGTCAGGAGACGGGAAAGCGTCTACCACGGACGAACTCTGTGTGAATGAGAAGAGCGAATCGTGAGATCTGGCTGGTCTGCAGTAGATATTTCCTTGCAGACTGATCAAAGGGGGAGTAGTAGCACCCCGTCCGGGGTCAGGCGAGCTGCAGGAAGCGAACGAAAATGCCTGACCGTAAGTTAAATGGGGCAAAAATGTCCGGAACCCCACGTGTAGTAGTGGAATGCTTCCCGTTCCGGCTGGCTGAAGCCTATGCAGGAATCGAAACTCTTGGTTCAGGCCGGGTATGTGGAAAATTAATTCATTAGAAGGAATTTATTCTTTTCTCTCCGTTTATCTACTA